CGTATCTTGTGTTGCATTCGCAGAGCTTTTTCACAAGTTTTTTTACCTATATTAAGATATACTGGTAGTGATATCTGCGCATTGTGCACTTTCCATTTGCATCATGGAAGATTGAGCTCCATCCACGTGACCAGGCTCCGATGTGGTTTCTTCGATACCAACGCAATCAATCTAGCTTTGAACCCTCAACTTGCCGTCGGACACCAATACTGGGAAACATAAGGACCCATGTCCTGTTTCTGTTTCTATTTTTTTCATCCTTTGATAAGTTCCATTTTTAATTGACAAGCAACAATGATCCCCACAGCAAAATGCCTAGCCCAGTCACCCGGCTTCGTCAAAAGGAGCGCGGACGAGTTGGCCCGGTTTACTAAGATGGGTATGTCAAATCAACGAATGTTGCGCCATGCACGGCATGCATGCCACCGGGTATCAAACCAGATAGACGCATTCTTTTGCTAACTTCTGTTCAACAACTTAGCCTGGAACCTCGATGCACTCTCCGTCCCTTACAAACCCTATCACCTCCTCGATTTCACCGACGAGAACACAATCGCGGGCTGCAAGACCATGTCCGACCGCGCCGTTGGTGGTTACAGCACTGCAAATCTGGACTATATCCCCGCAGATCCCGCGACCAATACCCCCGCACATGCCCGCTTTCATGGCTCGATATCCACCAAGTTGCCGCAGAATTGGAAGGTGCAGAGGACCGGTATGAGACCAAATTTGATGCATTTTACAAGAGGGTTTTCATTAAACCGTTACAGGTTATGCGGCTTTCCGCAACCAAGACCGCGGGCTATGGCTCTTCGGCCGCCTCTACTGGGACGTGGACCCATACACCTACCTTGCGTTGCGCGTCAAATCCGATGGCCGCAGATACAAAGTAAACATCCAAACCGATTCCATCGTCGATACTGACATCCATCAACATCGCCTCTTTACCCACCACCACCGCATTCCACAGTCGTCTTCCTCCGCAGATGCAACTTCATACTCTTCCGAGCAAGGCGAAGATGTCCCCACCGCTCTGGCAGATTTCGCTCCCCAACAACCCTCCTCTTCCGGCGCGTACACTCACACCACACCGCAAGCTACCAATCCGGATTCAACCGGCTGGGAAACTATATTAATCCGGTGGAACGACTTTGTACGTACGAACCTTGGCTTTGCCGTGGAGCCGCAGACGAGTATGGTACGGCAGCGCATCAAGTCCATTGGTCTTGGCTTGACGGATCGTGTTCAGGGGCCGTATGATTTACGCATTCACCGCATTTGGGCGACGAATGGGCTGTCGGAAGAGGAGATGGAGGAGGAGAAGAGAATATGTGGGCCGAATGCGTTGCAGATGACGGGGAAGGAGTGGGGCCCTGGGAGAATTGGGAAACCTTCAATGGCTGAGCAGGAGGGAGAAGCGTTGGGGAAGTTGAAGAAGCTGAAGGAGGAGAGCGATGAGGTGGTGGTGGAGCAGAAGAAGAGGGAGGATTAGTGGTAATGTCCTGTTCAAGTAAGGAAAAGATATGGAGGGTGGAGGAAATTGTGTTTCACATATATGGAATGGGCGAAATTTCTTGGTTCATGGCGTGACGGAAATGGATTGTTTTATTTTTTTTCCATGTATATGGTTATGACGATATTGGCATGCTGCGCATGTGGCCACTTGGTTATTGCACTATGAGCATTTATTGGCGTTGCTAGGGGATATACAGAATAAATATTTACCTCTTAATGAGAATCGGTGCATTTTTAAAAGTTCTAGAATACTATACAGGCCGTCAGAACATTACCCATCACACATCTATCATGCAGACCATCTTCATCCATGAACAATAACCTTCCCTCCTAATTTTCGGAAATACGTGTCCTGCGCCGGTTACCCACCAATTCCCAATATGTCTCCTAGACGGCGTAAGTATCACTCGTGATCTTTTCATACGCCTCCCGATACTTTTCTCCGGTCCTCCTAACTACCTCTTCATCCATACTCACCCCATCTTTGCCCTTCAGCCCACTCTTGACCAGCCAATCCCGCAAAAACTGCTTATCAAAACTCTCCTGCGACTTGCCAACCTCATAGTTCGCAGCAGACCAGAACCGCGACGAGTCCGGCGTCAGGACCTCATCAACCAATACCACTTCGTCCTTCTCCGTGTCCAACCCGAACTCAAATTTTGTATCTGCGATGATGAGGCCCTGCGCGAGTGCGTGGGCGTGGGCGGTTTCGTAGAGTTTTAGGGCCAGGGAAGATATTATGGAAGCGTATTTGGGGCCGAGGAGGGTTACAGCTATAATAAAAGTGTCAGCTATGTTATCGGGAATATAGCATTTATGAAGGGAAAGGGAGGGGTACGGTGGGGTGGGTGCTGGAGGAGTTGGGGGGGTGGATACCCTGATCAGGATGAATATTCTCATCATGCTCTCCCTGCTCCGCCTTGGTGCTGGGCGTATATATGGGTCCATCAGGAAATCGCTGGCTTTCCTTCAAGCCCTCCGGCATCTTCATACCATGCACAGAGCCAGATTGTTGATATTCTTTCCAGGCTGAACCGGTGATGTAGCCCCTTACAATGGCTTCAATGGGGAATACCTTTAACTTGCGCACTTGCATGCAGCGGTTTTGTAGGGCCGGTCGCAGTGATTCCGGAATCTGTGGGGGTAGGTCGAGCGTGAGGAAGTGCGTGCGTAGAGTCGGAATGGCGGTGGTAAGTATTTTGAACCAGTGGGTTGTCAGGAGGGTGAGCAGGGTGCCTTTATTGGGGACTGGCTGGTTCAATTAAGAAATATATTAGTAAACCAAGGATCTGGAGTATATTTCCTCTTCTCTAAGTCACTGGATACTACTCGGGTATATGGTATACATTTGCCATAATTACGTCGTAGGCGGAGATGCGGTCCGTAGCTACGAAGAGGAGGGTTTGCTGGTCAACTTCGTACAGGTCACGCACTTTACCCCGCGCGACGAGGGGGAGGATATCCTGCAGATTGCTGGTGGTCATTGGCTCGGCCATAGCCGCTGAGGAGGGATATATAAATGTGTGTTGTGCGTATCGGCGGAGAAGAGCGGGGCGGAGAATAAAATAAATTTGATATTCCGTCACGGCGGGGGAAATTAGTCAGGGCTTGGCATCGGAGCTCTTTTGACGCGCGGAAACGAATAGACGCGACTTTGATATAGCCATTGGGGGAGCAGAACAACGCTATTAGACAATATAAAAGTGGCTATGGATGCTCTGAACACCAATACACATAATAGATATACGAAATACTCATGTTTGCTTTTTCCTTCCTAACACCAATGTACCAAACGGCTTGCTGATGCCATTCTCGGCCATGGGAAATCCCCTTTTTTGAGCCATTCTATATGCACAATAATACCCCTTGAAAGAAAGAGTCAAAATGACTCGATATCTCACCCCCTCCAAGATCTCCCTTCTAGCCCTTGTTTCCGTCTACGCTGAAGGCGTAGTCCCCAATTCTGCTATCATCCCCGTCCTCTCATTTCTAGTCTCCCATCTACTTCCTCCTCAGCCCTCAACTCAACACCTCACCTCAAGCAACACAACAACCCAAGATAGCAACCATGCCATTCCCATCCAAGACTTTGAGGCTGCCACGTCATCTCTAGCTTCCTCCATCCCAGGTAGAACCGTCTGGGACCTGCTCCTGAAAAAGCTATGGAAACTGGGCTGCTCCGACGCCCTCGACGAGTTCTTCGCTGGTATATTAACCATGCTCACGAAGACGCGCGAGGATCAAATCAATGATCGGAACAACGGTATCGCGCCGCAGACGGGTCGTATGATGATCTCCCGTACATCCCTGCTAGGCATGTTCGTCAGGAGGGCGCATCTTGAGTACACCCGTCTGCAGTTCCATGATGCGGTGGCTCTGTGGCGGGGGTTTATCAAATACCGGTTACCGACGTATCAGCTGTGGGCCAAGCGGAATCCGCTAGATAGCCAGATCGCGGTGGATGTTAATCTGGTTGAGCTTGGCCTAGATCTGACAAGTCCGCTGGTTAAGGTGGTGTATGGCGCGTTGGAAGAGGGGAAAGATGTGGAAGTGGGGATGAGCACGAGAGATATTGAGCGGTTGCTGGATTTTCAGGTTGGGGAGATGCAGAGTGCGTTACTTTTTTTTCTCACTCGAATGAAATAGCGCTGCTACGATTCCCCTTCCCCTCGTTTTCTTGCTTTCTTTCTCTCTCTTTTACTGTTACCTTTACTTAATCAGTGATAGACTTTACTGATTTATAATCTAGGCAACGGATGCAGGATTACTGGTGAAATGAAATCACGTCTGGAACAGATGGTTATATCTGGAGTATCTGTACCCAGCTCGCAACATTATATAAAGTAAGTACTTCAATATTCATCTCGCTGGAGACATGCTCAAATCGTACAACCCTGATTAGATTCCTTGATGCCTGGAAAGCAGGAGATTATCCCTCCTCCTTTGATCACCTACATCGCTACTTTGACTACACCATGCAAAGCCGCGATAGAACTTTCTATCAATATGCCCTTCTCAATCTTGCCATTCTCCAAGCCGACTTTGGCTGCCACGCGGAGGCTGTCGCAGCCATGCAAGAGGCCATTTCGATTGCCAGAGAAACCCATGACATGAGCTGCCTCAATTTCTGCATGAGCTGGCTTTACCACTTTGGAAAAGCCTTTCCAGATGAAATGAAGGACATTCGGAACACGGGCATGCTGGGCAGTGAAAAGGAAGGGTTGGCATTTCTCCAGGCGAAGGCTAGGGAGACGGAAATGTGGGGCCTGTTAGGTACATCATTACTTAGTGAAGCCAAACTGGAGCTGCAGAATGTAAGTGCACTCCGATTCCCGTTATTGGAACATTGGACTTTCGTAACATGCTCATTGTGAACTGCTACAGGGTGAGAGTGTGGCGTCGGCATTTGAACATATTGTCAAAGCCTCATTTCTCAATGTGACGAAGGACGCGCCTAATTTAGCTGGGCCTCTACTTATGCTGCAAGCTTCGACGTATTCTCGAATAGGTAATGATTTTTTTTTTGGTCTTTGCTTTAGAGCATACTCGGGATTTGCTAAGAATCTTGCAACGCTGAAGGGGTCGCACATCTGGCGTGGTCTAATTGCGAAATCTTTCGAGAATGCTACGCAGAACAAGCTCCACATGAAGACAATCTAAGAGTGACATGTCGGAGTAGCATGTTGGTAAGTAACACTTTTCTCACGTGGCCTATAACGAAGGGTAAAAAGCTGACAGTCAGAAGCTGGCCGCTAGAGGAAGCTATGGCCTGTCTATGGCTCGGTTAAATGAGATATCTTCCGATTCGCTTCGAGTTCTTAGGAACCAACAGAATTGGACATTCTTTTGCGGACTTTTGAAGCTGCAAAGACAACTTCATCGGTAATTGAATTTCCTTCCTCTTTACAAAAGGATTGGCTGACCAATTAAGCAGAGATGATAAACTAGCAGCCGAGCAGCTTATATCACAACTGCATGCATGTGCTCCACCAGACACAGAATTAGTGTTGACACTCTCGCTCTTGGAGGTAGACTTTTTGATGCGAAAGGGTGACTACACAGCTGCGCTCGAAATAGTTGAGCGAAATGCCCAGTCGATGCGACAGGAGAACTTCGACGTTGCCACCCAGGTCAAATTGCTAGTGTCCAAAGCAAGGATCTTTGACCAAACCAACCAACCTGAAAGAGGATTCTCGTTAGCAATGAGAGCAGCTAATATCGCCCATCGATCACGGTATCTCCCTGGTCTGTGGGAGTCTATCGGCGTGCTCTCCGTGATCCTCATGGCCTTCAAAGAATTCGAAGCAGCCGTCGAGATTCTCGAGAGTATCGTACCCCCCCACCGGCCAGTGCGAAGATGCGTATCTC